CCTACAGAATGGGAGAAGATATTTGCAAATGAAATATAAGATAAATAAGATTAGTATCCAAAATGTATTAAGAATTTACCAAACTCAACACCCAAAAAAACAAATAATCCTGTTAAGAAATGGGCAGAAGACATGAATAGACACTTTTCCAAAAAGACATCCAGATGGCTCATAGACACATGAAAAAGTGCTCAACATCACTCATCATCAGGAAAAGACAAATCAAAGCCAAGATGAGATACTACCTCACACCTGACAGAATGGCTAAAATTAACAACACAGGAAACACCAGATGTTGGTAAAGATGAGGAGAAGGGGGAATCTTCTTAAACTGTTGTTGAGAATGCAAACTGGCGCAACTACTATGGAAAACAGTATGGAGGTTCCTCAGAAAGTTAAAAATAGAGCTACCTGTTGATTCAGTAATTGCAGTACTAATTATTTACCCAAAGGATCCAAAGATACAAATTCAGAGAGGTACATGCACCCTGATATTTATAGCAGCATTATCAACAAAGCCAAACTATAGGGAAAGCCCAAATATCCATCAACTGATGACTGGATAAAGAAGATGGGGAGATGTGGGATGTGTGTGTATACACACATACACATGTATATATAATGGAATATTACTCAGCCATCAAAAAGAATGAAATATTCACCACATGCAGTGATGTGAATGGATCTAGAATGTATCCTGCTGAGTGAAATAAGTCAGAGAAAGACAAATACCATATGATCTCACTCGTGCAATATAAAAAAGAAAATAGATGAACATATTGGAAGGCAACAGGGGAAAGAGAGAGGGAAACAAACCATAAGAGATGCTTAAAAATAGGAAACAAACAGAGTTGTTGGAGGTGGGTGAGGGATGGGCTAGGTGGGTGACGAGTACTAAGGAGGCAGTTGTGATGAGCACTGCGTGATGTGTGTAAGTGATGAATCATTAAATTCTACTCCTAAAACCAATATTGAACAGTATGTTAACTACAATTTAAACTAAAAAAAAAAAAAAAAAAAAAAAGAATAAAGAGGGTCTAAAACATCCTCCCCCCACCCCCACAAAAAAAGATTAGTGTATGGACTACAAATCATCCAGACCTAACTGACATTCTGAGAATACTACACTATGAACAGAATATATACTGGTTAAGCACACAAGGAGCATTCTCTAGAATAAATCATTTGTCAGGCCACAAAACAAGCCTCAATAAATTTTAAAAGTTCTGAAATCACAGAACATAAAGACTTCTAACTCTGGGAAATGAACTAGGGGTGGTGGAAGGGGAGGAGGGCGGGGGGTGGGGGTGAATGGGTGACGGGCACGGAGGGGGACACTTGACGGGATGAGCACTGGGTGTTATTCTGTATGTTGGTAAATTGAACACCAATAAAAATTAATTTATAAAAAAAAAAAAAACAAACGGTCTGAAATCATACTAAATATGTTTTCCAGTAACAGTGGAGTGAAATTGGAAATCACTAACAGTATTTTGGGAAATTGACAAATATGTGAAAATTAACACTTCTGAATCTAGTGGATCAAAGAAATCACAAGGGAAATAAAATTCTTTGAAATGAATGAAAATGAAGACCAGATATACACCAAATATGGAAATGCAAGGATAGCAGTGCAGTGTTCAGAGGGAAATTCATAGCTATAATTTCCTAAAAAAGAAAAATATCAAATCAAAAAGCTAACCTCCCACCTTAAAACAGTGGATGTGTGAGAGAAAGAAGGGGCAGTTAACAAAAGGATCTGACATGAGCTAAGGAGATGGAATGGCGTAAAAGCCCAGATAGGAAAAACAATTTCTCTTTTGTAACTGGAGCAGAGGAAAGTATGACAGTTTCTGTGTTTGCTATGAGAGTATAGTTACCATCTTTACCACTTTCATCTGTTTTCTATGTGAAGTAGACTTGAGGTGAAGCTGTGTATGAAGTGACTAAAAAGGACGTACGGCATTAAAGATCTGAAGAATAGTCCCTGTGTAGGGTGGTGGAAAAAGTCCCATGTATAAAGATGACTAGAGAAAGTTATCAGGGATGTCAGACTGTTGAGGATCCTTTGGAGGCTGGCAGCAGTGTATTATAAAAGAACTACTGATCTGCCCTGTTGTGTGATTCCCTGAACTGCATTTGGGTATGTAGGGAAGGCATAGAAAAGGCAAATGTTTGCCTTCACATATGGCTAGAATTTTTGCTAGTTGGGTGAGATAGATAAATGGGTGGGGAAATTTAAGATATCGAAATATCGGTCAAGAAGCTAGATAAGGACAGAACTAAAGAAAGTAAAAAGCTAATGTAGAGGAAGCAAGTAGAGGGGTCAGTGATCCAGAGGTCACCAGGAGGTCTAACCAAGATAGCTCCACAAGGGTAAGGAATCTGTTTTGTTTACAAGGTGTCCCAGCCCCCAGAACAGTGCCTGGCACATAGTAAGCAGAAAATATTTGTATTGGATGAATCCCCATTGCAGAACTGGGATTATTTCTAAGCAAGCTGGAAGAATGGGAGATTGTGGTCAGAGTTGGATGATTGAATGAGTGATGGAAGAGGCAAAGCATCATGAATGACACATTGTGATGTCTGACACACACATCTGATAGGTTCTCCATACCCCTCAGCCTTCATCATTACCTTTCTTTGGCCTGTTACCAGAATTACTTATTTTTTAAAAAATAGAGTCATTTCTCTACAACTGAATGAGTTGACCTTTCCCAAATAAGTATCATATAAAGCCATTGGAAAAATCAGGGTCATTAGATTCTTTCTCACGTGGGTGGAATAAGCCAACAAAGTACTAGTAGGAATTCCCTTCCTCTGCAAATTAGCCCAGTCTAGTTGTGAAGGCCAGAAGTTCACAGTATTTCTAATGCTTCCTGTTTTGTTTATTTTGCTTATCACAGATGTGGACACTTTTATATTTACTAGCTGTATCACCTCTCTAAAGTATATTGACCTTTCAGGAAGCTGTAAAAGGCCTCTCTTTTGCATTTAGTACAGACATACCTCGGTCTCGTGCACTTTGTTTTACTACATTTCACAGAATATTGTGTTTTTCACAAAATGAAGTTTTACAGCAACCATGCATGAAGCAAGTCTATAGGCACTATTTTTCCAGCAGCATTTGCTCACTTTGTATCTGTCCTGTTTTGGAAACTCACGGTATTTCAAACTTTTTCATTAATTATATTTATTATGGTGATCAGTGATTTTGACTTGCTGAAAGCTCAGGTGATGGTAGCATTTTTTAGCAATTAAATATTCTTAAATTAAGATGTTCACATTGTTTTTTTTTAGATATAAGGCTGTTATACCTACAGTAGACTACAGTATAGAGTAAATGTACCTTTTATATACACTGGGAAACCAAAAATTTCATTTATTGTGACATTTGCTTTATTGCAGTGATCTGGAATGGAGACCTCAGTATCTCCAAGCTATGCCTCAAGGGGTCTGAAGTCTTACTTAAAATTAAGGATGCTGTTTGCAAAGGCAAAGTTTACAGAAGGAGACTGAAATGATAATCTTATTTTTAAACAATGCAATGCTTGCCCATTTAGTTAAATTAATCAAAAAAAGTGTTTTGATTTTAAGGATTCACATCTTTTTTGAATAACTGGCCATAGTACTTACCCTGTTTCTCCCTCTCCTTCCCTCCCTTCCTTCCTCCCTCCCTCCCTCCCTCCAGTATAAGTCTATACTGACTGATCTTTGTAGAATAAACAGTACTCTGAAATGCCCTTCCCTGTACATCTTTGCCTGGTAAATTTCTTTTATGTGATCTACTTCAGATATCTCCTCCCAAACTATCCTCAGCTCTTACGGACAGATGAACAGGCCTCTGCCCTTAGAGTAGTTCACACTAATTTCTGTTACACTGACATTATTTATTTGTATATCTGTTCCTGTCTTTGTCTTTTATTGGCCAAGGAGTAGGGACTTTGTCCTAGTCATCTTAGTGTCTCCAGCACCTTATGTGTGCCTTCCATGTTTTAGGGACTCCAGAATTGTCTGGCAAATGAGTTTGACAGCAAGAAAACACATTTGCGAGTACTTTGTAGGCATAGGTTGGAAAACCCTGCCCTCTAAAGGAGTTTGCCTGTTTAGACAGATAGGATACTGCTGTTAGGTAAGCAGTGATTATTTGATTATGGTTCTGTGATCCAATCAGTAGATGTAATTAACGTAGAGAAAAGGTGGCCTTTTTTTCCTATGCCAACTTATTTCAAAGTAAGCATAACATGTAGTTGATACTCAGTGTAGATTTGTTAAAAGTACAGATGTCTACCGAATGTTCACAGGGACCGTTTATTGGGTGGTGGTATTTTTGTTTTTAACTTTTTTCTTTCAGATATATTTTTTTTTCATTCTTTGAATTTTCTTTTTTAAGATTTCATATATTTATTCATGAGAGAGACAGAGAGGAAAAGAGATAGGCAGAGGGAGAAGCAGACTTCCTGCAGGGAGCCTGATGCGGATCTCGATCCCAGGACCCCAGGATCACACCCTGAGCCGAAGGCAGACGCTCAACTGCTGAGCCACCCAAGCATCCCATTCTTTGAATTTTCTATTTCAGTATGTATTGGGAAATGTTATTTTCCACTTTTAAAAGATAGGGTATGTAAAACAGACAGTTAAGAGAAATGAATGCTTTGGTACAATTTGGAACCACTCAGCTGGGTCAAATTGGGCCAGTCCATGCTTTGGGAACAAATTTTAGTGGCTTAGAAAAGCAAAAGTTTATTTGCTGAGGGACAGCTGGGGTTCTTTTACACCCAGTGTCTCAGATCAAAATCTCCATCTCAAAGTGGCTTCTGCAGTTGCTGTAGCTAGGGGAGGGTCAGGTGGAGAATACCTTCCCCCTCTCACCGGCCTCCACATGTGTCACTTTGCCATGGCTAAGACGAGTGCCATGGCACCAAAATACCTGCGAAGTACAGTGGAAAATGTTGAACACCAGTTGTCTTTAACATGAAAAAACTCTCTTTATTTTACAGTTACTGTAATGAATGTATGTTGGATCCAGACTGCGGTTTCTGCTACAAGATGAACAAATCAACTGTAATTGACTCCTCCTGTGTTCCAGTTAATAAAGCATCTACAAATGAGGCAGCCTGGGGCAGGTATGTCACCTCTTATATACCTTAAGAACATAAAACAAAATTTCAGAATGAGATCTTTTTATTACTGATTATATTCCCTATGCTATACATTCCATCTCTGTGACTTCTTTATTTTATAACTTCTTTATTTTATGTAAAGGAAATTTATACTTTTTATTCCTTTTGTCAATTTCCTCCATTCCCCAACCAGCCGCCCCTCAGCAACTACCAGTTTGTTCCCTGTATTTTAAGAGTGTTTTTTTTGTTAGTTTGTTCATTTGTGGGTTTTTTAGATTCTCCATATAAATGAAGTCATATGGTATTTGTCTTTCTCTGTCTGACTCACATCACTTAGTATAATACGAGTTATACCCATGTTGTCACAAATGGCAAGATCTCATTTTTTTATGTCTGAGTAATACTCCATTGTGTACATATACCACATCTTTATCCAGTCATCTATTATTGGACACTTGGGCTGCTCCCATATTTTGACCATTGTAAATAATGCTACAGTAAACATTGGGGTGCATAGATCTATCTTTTTTTTTTTAATTTTTATTTATTTATGATAGTCACACAGCGGGAAAGAGAGAGAGAGAGAGGCAGAGACACAGGCAGAGGGAGAAGCAGGCTCCATGCACCAGGAGCCCGACATGGGATTTGATCCCAGGTCTCCAGGATCGCACCCTGGGCCAAAGGCAGGCGCCAAACTGCTGCGCCACCCAGGGATCCCAGATCTATCTTTTCAAATTACTGTTTTTTCTTTGGGTAGTTACCTCATAGAGGAATAACTGGATCACGTGGTATTTCTATTTTTAGTTTTTTGAGGAACCTCCATGTTTTTCATAATAGGCACCAATTTACATTCTCACCAACAATGCACAAAGTTTCTCTTTTCTCCACATCTTCATCAACACTTGTTGTATCTTATTTTTTTTATATTAGGCATTCTGACAGGTGTGAGGTGCTGTGTCATGTTTTGATTTACATTCCCTGATGATTATTGATATTGAGCATCTTTTCATGTGTCTGTTGGCCATCTGTATGTCTTCTGGAAAAATGTCTGTTTAGGTGCTCTGCCCTTTTTTTTTTTTTAACTTCAGATTGGTTTTTGGTATTGAGTTGTGTAAGTTATTTATATATCTTGAATGTTAACCCTTTATCAAGTATATCACTTGCAGGTATCTGCCCCATTCACTAGGTTGTCTTTTTGTTTTGTTGATGGTTTCCTTTGCTGTGCAAGTGGCTGGGGATGCAAGCATGGTTCAGTATTCACAAACCATTCATTATGATACAGCGCATTAGCAAGAGGAAGGATAAAAATCATAGGATTATTTCAATTGATGCAGAAAAAACATTTGAGAGAAAGTATTTGTTCATGATAAGAACTTGAAACAAAGTGGGTTTAGAGGGTGGATACCTCAAACTAATAAAGTCTATATATGAAAACGGTAGCATCCTAATAAATGGTGGGAAACTGAAAACTTTAAGATCAGGAACAAGACAAGGATGTTCATCTCACTACTTTTATTCAACACAGTACTAGTACTAATTAATTCGTAATTAATTATAATTATAATTATAATTAATTAGTACTAATTGCAGCAGGCAGTCAGACGAGAAAAGGAAATACAAGGCATCCAAATTGGTAAGCAAGAAAACTGCCATTATTTACAGATGACGTGATACCATATATAGAAACATTAGGCCACCAAAAAACTAGTAACATTGATAAATGAATTTAGTAAAGTTGCAGGATTCAAAATTAATACACTGAAATCTGTTGGATTTTTATACACTGAAATAACAAAGTAGCAGAAATAGAAGAAAAACAATTCTGTTTACAGTTGCATCATAAAGAATTTAAAACTTAAAATAAGTTTAACCAAAGAAATGAAAGACCTGTACTCTGAAAACTGAAACAATGATGAAAGAAATCAAAGATGACATAGACAAATAGAAAGTTATATCATGCTCATGGATTGAAAGAGTTAATATCATTAAAATGTCTATCCTATCCAAAGCAATGTACAGATTCAATGCAATTCCTATCAAAATACCAATTGCATTTTTCACAGAATTAGAACAAATATCCTAAAATCTGTATGAAATAAGAGATTTCTGAGAGTCAAAACAATCTTGAGAAAAAGGAACATAGCTGGAGTTATCACAATCCCATATTTCAAGGTATATTACAAAGCTGTAGTAATCAAAACATTATGGTCCTAGCACAAAAATATACACATAGATCAATGGGGTAGAATAGAGTCCAGAAATAAATCCATGCTTTTATGGTCAATTAATCTATGACAAAAGAGGCAAAAATATACAATGGAGAAAAGAATCTCTTCAGTGAATGGTGTTAGGAAAACTTGACAGCTGCATGCAAAAGAATAAAATTGGACCACTTTTTATACACCACACACAAAAACAAACTCAAAATGTATTAAAGACCTAAATGTGAGACCTAAAATCATAAAATAACTGAAAGAAAACATAGGCAATAATCAGACATCAGCCTTAGCAATATTTATGGATATGTCTCCTCAGGCAAGGGAAACAAAAGCAAACATAAACTATTGGGACTGCACCAAAATAATAAGCTTTTGCTATGCAAAAGAATAGGTCTTACTTTTAACTTATAGAGTGAGTGCATTTATAGTCAATGACTGCAGTTCTTTTAAACTGATTTTCACAACTATATTACTTTGCAACATATACTGATAAAGGGAACACAAAACATTGCAACTTTATGTTTCACAAAGTAGAAAGCACTCAAGCCTAGACTTTAGGAAATTCAGATTCAGGCCCAATTCTGTTCTAAGCTGTAGAAGTTTGGCTCTTGAGACAGATGTCCCTACATATTTCCAAGGCAGTTTCTCCCATTGCATATTGTTTAACTACACCAGTAATTTTCAAACTCTGAAACTTAAAGAAAATCTTCAAGTCAAAATGAATTAATATTACTTTCAATTCTTTCATGCAACTATTGTTTTTTTTTTGCATATGTTCCTGGAGTTTAGTAAAATTAAACAAAGTATAGATAAAAGTTGGTAATTGTCATGTAACCAATCTAGGAAAACTATAAATCTTTCTCTTTTTGAAAGAGTACATTGGTTTGTAATAGATATATAAGTGAACTATTTGTATAGAACTTATATTCAACATCCATGGGCACAGTAAATATGTAAATATTATTCTATATGAACTTTTATTCAATGTCCATGGACACAGTAAATATGTAAAAATTATTCTATATGGCCTTAACTTCTTACGTATTCTAAAGTCCTATAAAAAAAATAATAGGCTCTCATTCCACCTGCCTCATAGAACTGATGAAGGCAATGAAATCTGTTAATTACTTGTATCTCCTAGAAGCTATAAAGTATAATCTGTCATTAATCATTATGCTGTTGTCATTAATCATTTTATTAGGGAATTACTGCAAAGAAGTAGAAATAAATTACACGCTATTCAACTGAAAATCCAGACTACATTTTAAATATATTAATTACAGAGAAATATGTAAAAGAAATGCAATTATTACTTAAAATGAAAACTTGAAAGAGCTTCTTTTAAAAACATCCAGTATATAATTTTCATCAGCCAGGCTTCATTAGTTGAGTTAATTGATTAGATATTTCTGGATGTAATACTTTACAGTTTTAACTCTTATGATTCTTTTTTCAGTAGATAAAATCTGAAAGCTTGCTTGTCTAGAATTATGAATATGTCATGAAATCTGTGTGTGTAGTTTCCCATACTTTACATACTTAACATATTAGAATTGTATACTAATGATAAGAGGACACTATAATTCGACATTTCTTTCATCCTTAGTAGAAATCCAGAGGTCAGAGGCCTCAAAATAGGAGTTTTGTTCTTACTGTTTGCAAGTAACAGATTGTACAACTTTTTAATAGAAATTTCTATTACTTCTTTTATGTTAACCTATTCATATGCTTAGGACATTATTCCTTGAGTGTGCTCACTCCTAAAAGAAAAGTGAGGTACAGATAATACCTAGGGAAAAACACAAAGAACTAAACAAAATACATAGAGAAATTTTATTGTAGAATATTTGAATAATTTCAAAGTCTACCACTCTCCTTCAAAAAAATGACAGTTTTCCTCACTCTTTTCTGTGCTGAGTAACAGATCTCCTTTAGCTTAGCTACTGTGGTTGGCTCCTTCAAACTGTGCTATAAAGAAAGAAAAAAAAGGCAAGATGTTTGCCATGAAAAATTCCTACAGCAGATTTTCCATTTATAGCAATTGCTATAGCAATATATAAATATATATTAATATATAATATATATTATAAATATATGTAACATATAAATATATAGTATATTAATATAATATATCATTATATATAATATATTAATATAATAAATATTATGAATATATTAATATATATTAATATATTAGTATGTAATAATATGTTAAATATATTTATATAAATATATATGAATATATAAATAGCAATTGCTATATTGTTGTTGGTTGATAGGTTTTATACAGTTACTTGGAGTAGAATTCTCCAGGCAAAATCTACCATTACCTTGGATTCACATCTGAGCTATACTGTTTATAGATGTTTCAGGGTCAACTTTTGGGGAAATTCAGAGCCATATATCCTGATTTAACTGGTGGTTTCATGAAAAGACACCAGGTAGAATGGTAATACCACTCATGATGGAGATAGTATGATGATTCTGGTGAACTCTGAATTGCCTCAACATAATGAAAACTATTTGCTTACATAATCAACTATAATAAATTGGAAGCAAAATGTTAAGTGGCATGCTTTTCTAGTATCTAGTTAAATTTCAGTAAAAAGTTTTTTTTTTTCTAAAAATCAGTTCTCTAAAGAAGATACACAGTTGGCCAACAAGCACATGAAAAACTGCTGATCACTAATTATTAGGGAAATGCAAACCAAAATTATAATGAGGTACCACCTCATAACCATTAGGGTGGCTACTATTAAAAATATATGTATTTATTTATATTAA